TCTACGTGCCGTTTCCTAAGTAGTCAACGCGAATATTTAGGTCAGCTTACACTGGGACCCATATGGCTAGTCACTTTACCTGTAATCATTAGTATCAAGGTGTTGGGTCTTTGTGGGTCCTCGTGGGTCCTCGTGGGTCTTCGTGGGTCCTTAGCTCATGAGACACCTGCTGTGTTGACCTATTACAGTTCACTAATGTCATCGTTCTGCTTGATGACAGTGACGCTCGAGGCTCACAGGTGTAATTTGTGGTGATTTACCTCCATAATGTATTTCCGTCAGGTAAACAGACTGTGTGAAAAGGGTAATAAACCGTTTTGTGATCATCAAATTTCAGGTTTATTAGAAACGACAATAATTTAACGAATATCATTATATATCATTGTCTATTATCTATATTGGAATTTTACACCTGTCATATTTGGTGGATTGTATCATACAGTATTTATTAGTAGTAATTGACTTATAAAAGAAAGATTGAATATTATAATGTTTCGATATCACTCATTTGTCTAACTCCTATTATTTATGCGAACAACTGCTCTGTGTTTAGTCAAGACAGCCAGACTTCAGTAACTTGTATACGAGAAATAAAGGCGATTGTTGACAAGACACACTACAGCTGTCAGGGCTATTTAAATACAGTGATGGCAGGTAACTGTTATGTAACATATTCACCATTGCATGAGAACTACACATCTGTAAAGTCACACAAGTGCTCGAGTGTTGTTACCTGGCACATGGGAGGGTTCATATGTGCTATCACTTCCCTCTCACGATGCTAACACATATTCTCGTGTTGACAGTGTTGTTGTGTTGCATGACTGAAGTGTGTTGAGTCTGAGAGCTGTATTACTCCCACATAAATACGTGTTATAAGGTGGAATTGAATGATATTTTATTCATATGTAACACCTCATCTCTCATGCCTCCAAGAAGTGATGATTATATTCTGAACTATTTTATATTTTTCTCCGAGTTTTATAAAAAAAAATCAAATTTTTGTTATTTTTCTGAGTCAATTTATAACCTATCAAGATTAACTATTATCTTCTGTTAACATTGTATCACAGGCTCATCGTAGTAATTATAATCCCTGGTTGACCTCCTTTTAAAACTCATCAAATACTGACAGTGAAGAATACCTCAGCTTTCGTGTTAATAAATCCTCTTGTAGTTTACGGTAGAAAAAAAAAACTCAACGCTATTATGATGAATAAGTAAATCCTGGAGGTCAGTAAACAGCGGCCCAGTTCTTTTTTTTCTCAGGAGAGAGTAATAGCCAGCAGGGTGAGGCCACGTTTGCTGTGCGTGCTTTAATCCACTTTTCAGAATTTTGCTGTAAAATTCATCCATCCGGTTGTGTAGCGTCGAGTCACGAGTTTAGAGACAGGTGGCTAAGGGGGTAGGGGAGGAGGCGGAGGGGGGGGCATGGCTGAGGGGGAGGAAGAGGGGGATCGGTCGAGGGGGGATGGCTGAGGGGTGAGGGGGGAGGGGAGGGGAGTCGAGTGGCTGATGTACAAGGCAGATATTGCACGTTACTACCCCCCCATCCCCCCTCCCCCTTCCAGTGACACCAGAAGGGGGAATTTAGTTTACCCTTCAAGGACGCAATAGAACGTTAAATGTTACCTATAATTTACTCTGTGTGACGCCATCGGGGATTTGATTTATTCTTTAGCGACTTTACGAAGGACAATTTTGTTTACGTCGATACGATGAATACTAAATTACCCCAGTGACGTCATTGAGAGTAGACGATGACATCATTGAAGTGAAGGCATTGTGAAAATATTACCCTCTTGACGTCCAGATTTCGTCAATGAAGTCGATGTTTATAAGTGATTGATTTTTATTAGAATGATGTCACTGATTTCTTTCTTTCTATGACAGACAGACAGACAGACAGACAGACAGGTCATTGTTCAGTGAAAACCGCCATGGATAGATAGATAGATAGATAGATAGATAGATAGATCATTGTTTAGTGAGAACCGCCAAACAAAACATTAACATAGATCCAGTGTGTTTATGACCATACAGAGACACATTAAACCTAACCTAACCTAACCTAACCTAACCTAACCTAACCTAACCTAACCTAACTTAACCTAATCTAACCTAACTTGAGGATATTAAAAGTGTATGTGTGTGTTTGTCTCTTTTTTGGAGGCTGAGGATGTTTATTTATTTATTTATTTATTTATTTATTTATTTATTTACTTATTTATTTATTTGTTTATTTGTTTGTGTATTTATTTATTCTATTTATTTATATATTTATTTATTTATTTATTATTTATTCATTTATTTGTTTATGTATTTATTTGTTTATTTGTTTTTATTTATTTATTTGATATTCTATGTATTTATTTATTTATTTATTTATTTTTTTATATTTTTTTTTTTATTTATGAGTGGGGATTTATTTTGTAATTATTGGTAATAATAATATAAACAGCTGTGCCACTCGCCTGTACGGGTAATAAAGTGATGACATGATAAATTCAATTGAGATTAACATTTTAAAGTGACAGGAATTGATGTACTGTACTGTGCTGACACGTGTTGTAATTTGGAAAGTTTGTCTTGAATGTTTAGTCATCTTAACATATTTGTAATTAAGTGAGAGTGTTTTTTCCTTACTTTACAACAATGTTATTCAAATGTTAGAAGGTGTTAGAGTATATTTTAGTACTGTACTGAAAACAAACACTGCATGTTCCTCAAATATTACCATAATTTTGTGTTAATTTCTTTTTATTTTTCTTATAGGTACGGGTTGTCTATAAGTGCATCTTAACGTAAGTAGTACAGTAGTTAATATTTAATATAACATGTACAGTATTACGACAAATGTGTATTTAATATAGTTACCAACATATTGAAGTCAAGTTCGTTTTCTCTAAAGAAGTAATGGGACGCGTTTTCTCTGGAGGTAAGAGCGTAAACTCTTTCAGTATCGCTTCGTCCATCGCTGCCAATACCCCCATACAGTGTAAAGGGGGGCAGGTCCTGGAGATCCGGACCCCCATTTTCATGAGAAATTCCAATATTTTTTCTTTAATGCAATATTGTACTCAGGCCTTTTTGTATAGTAAAAATTAATTACTATTGATCTCAGAATATCTTCTAATATCAAGTGGACATGGCTTCAAAATGACGGTGATATTGGTCAGATTAAAACAAAATATGGGGAGGGGGGTGGCTTACAGCGCCCCCAAAACCCCTTGCTGGGTAGGCTCGCTATGTTGGCCATGTTCCCCCACCCACAATTTCTTGGACCCCCGCCCCCCCCCACCATCCCCCATTTGATATACCTGGATCCGCCCCTGGATTGTGGGGTATAAACTAGCATTACTGTCTATTAGTACCTGTTATTATACTAGCCAAAGTGATGTAGTACCAAAGATATACGAGTTGGTTAAAAATGCACCGTAGGAAGGCATCTGGAGTACTGCAGATCGTCGAGTCTCTACGAAGTTTACACTTTTTTTTTTTTTACTTTTTTTTTAATATGTAATTGCTTTGACTATTTTTTTATCCATTAAGTCATTTTTACCTCATCTACCTAACTGACTTAATGAGTTGGCGGCTGCATCTACCTAACCTAACCTAATCTAACCTAACCTAACCTAACCTAACCTAACCTATACTGCACTGTCATCGAAACAACACCCACGAAAGATTGTCTGAACTCTTAATAAATCGGATGAATGTGGCATTGGAACTCTTGAGCAAGACGAACATTGGATGGTCTTCTCTTCTTCTTCCTCCTCCTCCTCCTCTTCTTCTTCGTCTTCCTCTTCTTGTTCCTCTTCCTCTTCCTCTTCTTGTTCCTCCTCCTCCTCTACCTCCTCGCCCTATTCTTGTTACTCCTTCTCCCCCTCGTTCTCTTCTTTCTCCTCCTCCTCCTCCTCTAACTCCTCTTCTACTTCCTTCTCCTCCTCTTCCTCTTCCTCCTCTCCTTTTCTGTGAAGTTCGTCCTTAAAGTCTTTGTCTTCTTTTCTTTGGTGTTCCTTTGTTCTTCATTCTTTTGAATCTCGATTATTTTTATATTGAGATGATAAGAAAACAAAAAATTTTCTTCATGCTATCAGGGTGTGTGTGTTTGTGTGTGTGTGTGTGTGTGTGTGTGTGTGTGTGTGTGTGTGTGTGTGTGTGTGTGTGTGTGTGTGTGACACTTTGAAACAAGAGAATGTTAATATTGATAACTACTACTACAAATAATAACAATAACAGCAAAAATAGCAACACAAATTACAGAAATAACCAAAGAATAACTCTGTCTCTTCAGCCATCAGAATAAATTATAAACTCCATAGCACTAAACTTGTTCTTAGAAAGGTCAGGGAACATTTACCACCGAGAGACTGGTTCTGTTTACGCTCCTTCTACTCCTGCCGTAGGTCAAGAGCTGACGACATTTACCTCGATCATGCCTACTACGTGTTAAGTCTCATGGAATAACACGTATGATCGTATGAGGTTGAAGGAGACGAGAGATTATATCACTAGATTACGGTGGTTCTCAACCTGGGGGCCATGGTCCCCAAGGGAGCCACGGCAAGAATTTAGGGGCGCCACGGCGAGCTGTTATAAATTGTACGTTTCCAAATAATGTTGGGAATCTAAATTAAACAAAACTTTTGTTAATTATTTTGACTTGGCAGAAGAGAATTTTCATTATTTTTTTGTCATTTTGTTTAATTATCTCCAACTGGTATGTTTGCAATACAGCTGGATGAGTCACCGGACGTGAGTTCTTGTACACAGCTACTCGTGTTTGTTAGGTATGTTTTCTTGTGTGACATCAAGGAGGAATATCTGTTCTGTACACAGCTTGAGACCACCACAACAGCTGTAGATATGATGGAAAAGCTGTCTTCTTTCTTCACAGCTTACAGGATCAACTGGGAAAATTGTTGTGGAGTCTGTACGGATGGAGCTCCGGCGATGCTGGGATCAAAATCGGGGTTCCAGAAGCGTGTCAAGGAAGTATGATCCATCGTTTTGCACTGGCGTCGAAAACCATCCGTGATGAACTTTGCAAGATCCTGGAGGTAGTGGTCAAATGTGTCAACTTTGTGAAAACTGTAGATCTGAACTCTCGCTTTTTCCAGAACTTTTGTAGAGACATGGATTCAGAGCATGATGCCCTCCTCTTTTACTCCAAAGTGTGCTGGCTTTCCAAGGGTAATGTTGTGAATCGAGTGTTTGAACTTCGGGGAGAGCTTAAGTTGTTCCTGGAAGTGCAAGGGAAAGATGATCAATTAAGTCACTTCAATGAGGTGTTGTGGGAGCCACGTCTTGCATATTTAGCAGATATATTTGAGCAGCTAAACAGGTTGAATCTCAAGCTGCAGGGCAAGGAGAGAAATGTGTTTTACCTCATGGATTGTCTTCGTGCATTTCTTGCCAAGCTCCAGAATTGGCAAAGGAAAGTCAATACAGGAAATGTTGCCATGTTTGAGAATCTTTCAACTGTTCTTGATGAGACTGAAGATCATCTGCTTGACCCATCACTCAAAACTGAAATCACTCAGCACCTGAAATCCTTGGAAGTGAGCTCAAAAAGTATTTCCCATAATTCGAGGAGGAAGATGGAAAATTGGTGAGGAATCCCTTCTCTGGCACTATTGATATTGATACCATTCCCAATAATGTTCAGGACGAATTTCTTGATCTCAAGAATGATTCTGCTGCCAAAGACCTCTATGAAGAAAGATCTCTGACTGTATTCTGGTGCTCAATGTATCAGTTAGCGAGATTGCACTTCGCGTCCTTTTGCCTTTTTCAACTACCTATTTATGCGAATCTGGTTTCTCCACCCTTCTACATATAAAGAGTAAAAGCCGGAACCAACTGGATGTGGACCCGGACATGAGATGTGCATTGTCAGTGACACAACCTCGGATCAGTCACCTGACTGAAAGGAAACAATGTCAGCCTTCCCATTGAGCTGTGACAAAATATGCAGAGGCTTGTCTAGTAGTCACTCTAGTCTAGTGACGTCAGTTATGTAAATCATGTAAGTCTATATAAGATAATGATGATTGTAAACCTTGAAATAAAATAAGGGTGTTCTCTTCAACTGCATTATTTGTGGGGGGGAGAAAAATGAAGGAGTCCACGAGGATGTTGAAAATTCCTCAAGGGGGGGATGGAGTGAAAAAGGTCGAGAACCACTGCACTAGAATAATCAAATACAAGTTATGTTACAGGTTACAGTATATTACCCCGAGACTCTTACAAAATTAATAATGATGAATACTGATCCCCTAATAATAATAATAATAATAATAATAATAATAATAATAATAATTTTGATAATAATTTCAATATCAATAATATACGCATTACAAGGGTGTATATATGTATATGAAAATAATAAATCAAACAGAAAAGTCCAGACGATAATGAATGGTTAGAATCTATAGTTAGTTGTGAGAGAGACGTGATTGTAAGGCACTATCGTGGACTAAAGTTCGGTCCCTGTGGTAGAACTGAGACACAGGAATGAGTCTCCGAACTGACTTACCCTGACTGTGTGCGGGTGTGCTGTTTTGTCTCATTTGGGGTCGATACTGCTTCAGTTTTGGAGGGAGCGAACTTTTGTCCACGATAGTACCTGTGTAATATAGTGACTGGTTAAATGGGCCTATGTCTGAAGTCCCTATTCCAAATTCACTCCAACCTAGCTTAATTATTAGGTTCTAAGTCTCATTCCAAGTAGGTCCCAATACTAATCGACCACAAGTAGGCCCCAATCTTAATCTACTCCAATCTTAATAGGCTCCAATCCTAATAGTTATGTAATGTTACTCTTAAACCAAATAGGATTATAACTCTTGGGAACAACTGCCCAGCTGACGTATAGTAACAAAACTCACAGTGGCTCAGACACCGTACATCACCAACAGGAAATATGTCCCAAAGATTCACGTCGAAAAATAAATCCAGCGGGAGGAATTTAAAATGCATCGGGACGGAGTAAAAATATTAACGTTTAAGTTTGTCACGCAGTAAATTTCAGATAGGAATTTATGGGTGTGTGTGTGTGCTTGGGGAGGGGGGTTACCGCTTGCCATAGGTGGACGGTGGTATGAATGTAATGTTATGTATGTATGTATGTATGTATGTATGTATGTGCTGATCACCTAACCACATAAGAAAAGAAAACACGAAGTTCCCAAGCGCTATCGTGTAATTCACATCTTGGGGGGGGGAGGGGGTGAGTGGTTACGGTGAAGGAGACAAACTTACCACTAAAATATATTATATGGAACGTTATTTATCCCCCCTACCCACACACACACACACACTTAGAGGTCAAAGTCACAACTATAAAAAAAAAAACTCACCTATCATGTATTCTCACCTCGCTCGAGTGCAGTGTAGCTTAAACAATGTTGCGTCAGCTTCGTGATTGTGTCTCTCAGTATCATTAACTTGACACTGTTTTATCCTGTGCTTTATTATTTCCTCGTTATTCCCATTTGAAGACAGAATAATGTATCATTCTACTGCCTTGGGCTCACGAGTCTGAATCTCTCGGGGGAGGGATGTGGTTCAGAGGGTAAATCGAATTGACTTGAGTAGGTGGGTGACTTTATTCGACGATAAAACACAGTAAAGGAAGAAACGAGGGTAATTTTGTGTACTATTTTTTGAGTAACCAGACTGTGTGAAGGTATTGTACTGACATTAGTATTGATGCGTTATATTCGAGGACTGAAACACCTACTTGATGACTTTTATAGATTCATCTGGATTTATCTTCGTTGTTCTTCTACCGAGTCAATGCTCCGTGGTCCAAAACTGTGATACTGTGTTAACCAGGAACATACAAGAGCAAAGTTTGTACCGTGTTACTTGGATACGACACTTGAGAATGATATCAAACATAGAATAATTGAACCTTCATGTGAGATTGATTTTAGTTCTGTGGGTTTGGGCTTGTGAATGATTTGGGTAAGAAGGTGAGTGGATGTACATGTGGTTTTATGAGGAGTAGGGGACGTTGTGATAGTAGTGTGTAGTCTTTAGTAGTCTGCCTTGGTCTCAGTGGTTTTTATCACGTGCTGAACATCTTATCGTAAGCCAACTACAATTCTGGTGGTTGTGAGTCAGTTTTTTGGGTGTCGGAGGTCGAATATCGGGTGTCGGAGGTCGAATATCGGGTGTCGGACGTCGAGTATCGGGTGTCGTAGGTCGAATATTGGATGTCGGACGTCGAGTATCGGGTGTCGTAGGTCGAGTATAGGGTGTCGGAGGTCGTGTATCGGAGGTCGAGTATTGGGTGTCAAAGGTGGTTCAGAAACACAAAACCTTGGATGTTTTACTTGAGCATGACTTTACTGGTAATGGTCGCCAGGTCCCAGAATGCTGCAACATTCTGTTCTATATCAGAGTTTAAATCATTTTCCTGGTAGTTTCCCCTCTCTACTCCCAGCCTTCCCTTCTCTACACCCCTTCACGAAAACCAAAAAAAGAAAAAAAGTAGTTGCGTGCAAAGTCAACACACAGTCCCTGGAACACTGCTGCTGCTTGTTGCTTTTGTTTGTTTTGTTACTTATGTATGAGAGATCACAAATAATTTCCCATTGCCATCACGACTTTTTAGAAAACCAACACATTCTTGCAGGTAACTTATTTGGATTGTGTGATATCCAAATAATTTCATAGAATCTAAAGTGTATCCCATGTTAGCCCTAGATAACTGTGATCATCAAAGAATTATGAAGTTTTCACAGTATGGATTCCCAGAAATATTCATTGACTTGAGTTGGTTGGTGTTATTCTTGGGATCTCGGCAATTCACATCAAATATAAATGTGTCGGAATGTCACCACGACCGTCCGCCGCTGTACACGCGTCAAAACATTGATTATCTGAAACCGGTATGAGCCGTAAAACGATATATTTACGATATTCTCCCCGGCTGGATATATTTTTCGGACGTGCAGTGACCATTGTGGTACTAAAATACGAAATATTTTGTACGCTATAATGATATCTGAAATCTGAAGAGAAGTCATTAGGATTTGTCACTGTTCCACTGAGGTTAATGCCGACAGTTTCCATTTCTGTTGCATATTAAGAAGGTAATCCTGTATTGTAGTTAGTGGTTAGTTTGTGTCTCGTGTACATTCTCCTCTCCCTGGCGCCTCATCGACTCCACATTCTCGATACTTGTGAATATTTGATCATTGTGAGGTCCAGAACAACCTTAGGGCAGTTCTTATCGTGTCTACCCAGTGTAACATTGATGTGCCTGCAAGACTGGGCCAGCGAAAACATAGCCTTGTGCAGCTTTTAACATGGGGCTGTTGGCAGGTTCCCTTTAGAGTTTACAGTCACTAAGTCTAGCTAGGCAACATATTATGGCACAGTATTTTATTGTTGATTGCAGCTTGCATGATAAGAATGATGTTTGGGCAAATTTATTGATACAAATTATTTTTTTTCTCAAACGTACGATAATTCTGGTGATGGAGAGGTATTTTTTTTTAAATGTTGTTATTTGTAATTTTTTTTGGTAATTCAGAGAGAGAGAGAGAGAGAGAGAGTTTCTTGCTGGTAGAATCACGAAAGTTTGCTTAACTGTTGTTTGTTCTTGTTAGTATCAAATATTTTCTGTGATTTACAAAGTTTTTACTCTTCCAAAGTTAATATTTTGGGGGGATTCATGTTTTCTCTGGTTAGGATTTAACTTTCATAGCATAAACTGTACCTAAATTGGGTTAGGTTAGGTTAGGTTAGGTTAGGTTAGGTTAGGTTAGGTACAGTCCCCTTCACTAGTGCTTTTACAGGGGCTCTTCATATAAACATTCCACAAATCATAACATTGAGATATTTGTTTTAATATTCTTTTAATTTAATTCCATAGTATGTTTACTATTGTGAGTTTCCTTCTGTCGAATGTAAACAAACACAACGCTGCCACACTGCACAAAACCTGACGAGCCCATGTAAACGCACAAGTGAAGGGGACTGTACATGTTAACAGAATCGCGCATAAGCAACACCTGGACGCTTTTCCAGGTGCATTAGCCAACATCAGCATATACAACCAGATTGACCAGAGGACATAAAGACAACATTTTCTTACCGAGGAAAATTGGACCAAGTGTCTTTCCTGTTTATTCATACTACGACTTGGCGTCATTAGGCTGTGTGGTTAAGTACATTGGTGTGGTTAAGTACATTGGTGTGGTTAAGTACATTGGTGTGGTTAAGTACATTGGTGTGGTTAAGTACATTGGTGTGGTTAAGTGCATTGGTGTGGTTAAGTACATTGGTGTGGTAAGTGCTTGACTAGTCAGTGGTGTGGTAAGTTAAGTACTGGTGGTAGTGTGACGTCGTGTGTGTCATGCTAAGAATACATGATTAATACGAGTAATCCCTTCTGGTTAGGTTAGGTTAGGTTAGGGTCTCCTTATTGTCGTCACCTGGCTCTCCTCACCTCCCTCACCTGGCTCTCCTCACCTCCCTCACCTGGCTCTCCTCACCTCCCTCACCTGGCTCTCCTCACCTCCCTCACCTGGCTCCCTCCCCTCACCTCACCTGGCTCTCCTCACCTCCCTCACCTGGCTCTCCTCACTCCTTCACCTGGCTTTCCCCACTGCCACCACCGGTGTGAGGAGTGGCCGCCCGCAGCCACTTTAAGGCTTGGTTTAGGAACCTCTGCAAGATACATTTGAGGCATGTATCTGTGTGTGTGTGTGTGTGTGGGCGGGCGGGCGGGCGGGCGGGCGGGCGGCGTGTTTGTTTATTGGTATATAATAGTACTCTTAGGGAATTTATATTAACTCGGATGAATTACACACATGCCTGAATTAT